TTCTGTCTGTGGGATTTATCAGGGTGCTTAAATCTCTAGATGCTTATTCTGTCTGGTTTTTCCTGAAATGGCTTAACTTTGCTGGTGTGTCTTCTGATGTTTTAGCTGTGGCCCTGAGTATACCCCTAGGGTTGGTTTTTTTACCCCTTTATGTGGCATTTCAGATGTCTTAGGCTCTGCAGCTCAATGTACATGCATGGCTTGTTTTTGTTGTTGTTGTTGTTGTTGTTGTTTGCTAGCCATAGATTCAAAGGTAAGTAGTGGGGTTCAGCTTTCTTGAGGTAAAAGTGGGGAGTGCTTTACGTCCTTCCCTCCCAGGAGTTACTGTAGAATCTCTCCTACATGTGTCCTGCTGTGGGGAGGAACTCAGTTGTTTCTCTTTGTGTTTCATATATGAAGTATTTTTCTCATCCGGGCTGAAGACTGTGTCATGCAGCAGTTCCATTTATTTAGATCCTAGAGCCTTTCTATCTCAGGTCTTGTTGAAATTCAACAGCACTCACTTGCAGCATCTTGGCCTCCCTTCACCCCTTCCCACATCGGTATCCTGTAAACTCCCACAGACAATCTGCACCACTTTAAAAATTGGGTTACTGCTTTCTCATTTCATCTCCCATCATGTGTTCTTTTGTTTGGGTTGTTGCCTATTCCTGTCTCAAAATGGCCATGATGAGACAAGTCCTTCAGGTACCAGAGGCTAGGATCTCACAGCTTCTGTTTCACCCCTGCTTCTCCTTTGCTTGGCCTCTGGATTCATCTTAACTCTCCAACACTTCAGCTGCTTTCCAAAGTTCTCATATCTCAGTCTTTGCTTTCTTTCATTCATTGTTCAGTAGGTGAGTTGCTGGAAAACAAAGGGAGCAAGTACTTACTCCACTATTGTGCCCAGCCTTCCTTTGCCCAGTTTTTGATTGGATTATTTCTTTTTGTTGTTAAGTTGTAGAAGTTTTTTTAAAAAAAAAAAACATAATTTACATATTAAAACTTTATCAGTTGTATCATTCCCAAATATTTTTTCTCCAGTCTCTAGGTTGTCTCTTCATAAAGTCTCGATGAACATATGTATTTAACTTTTATATGGTCTCAGTTATCTACTTCGTTTTCTGATGCTCATGCATTTGTTGCTATGTTTGATAATTTATCGCTGAAAAAAATTAGGACCCGATGCTTTACTCCTATATTTTCTTCCAAGAACTTTATGGTTTTAGATTTAACACTTAGGTCCTTGATCCATTTTGAATTTTGAATTAGTTTTTGTGTATGGTGTGAGGTATGGATCTTGTTTCATTTTTCTGCATGTGGAAATTCACTTTTGCCAGCACCATTTGTTGAAGAGACTGTTCTTTTCCCCATAAATGGATTTCACTTTTGAAAATCAATTGACCATAGACATTTGGATTTCTTTCTGGACTTTCAAGTTTATTCCATTGGTCTCAGTATCTATCATTAAACCAGTACCAAGCTGTTTTGATTACAGCTTGTGGCTGTGTAAAATATCTTGAAGTCAGGAAGTAGAAGGCCTCTTGCTTTGTTCTTTAAAATTTCTTTAGCTATTCATGGCTCTTTTCTTCCCGTACAAAACCGAGGATTAGTTTTTCCATGTCTGTAAAAAATGCTATTGGAATTTTGATTGGAATTTTGTTGTATTTGTAGATTGCTTTGGGTAGCATTGACATCATCACTACATTAAGTTTTCCAATAGTTTTAGCTCTCCCTTCTCAGTTTGGACACCTTTTATTTCTTTTTCTTGCCTTGTTGGTCTGGCTAGGACTTCCATTACAATACTGAATAAGAGAGGTGAGAATAGTCATCCTAGTCTTGTTCCTGTTTTCAAGGGGAACGTTCTCAATCTTTCTCCATTGAGTATAATGTTGGCTGTTGGTTTTTCATAAGTGCCCTTAATCATGTTTAGGAGCTTTCCTTTTATTCCTACTTTGTTAAGAGTTTTTATCAAGAAAGGGTGCTGGACCTTATTCATTTTTTATTATAAAAAAAATTTCAAGCACATACAAATTATAAAATTATAATCAACTCCTACCTATCAGCCACTTCAGTTTCAGCAATTATCAACACACAGCCAATCTTGTTTCACCTACACTCTCTCCAAAATATTGTATTATGAAGAGTATTATATACATACACACACATGTGCAAAATATGTATGCATGTATACATATGTATACACATAAACCTATACATTCTGTAGCTATATGTTGTTTTTGTTAGGTGACACTGAGTAGATTCTGACTCACAGCGACCCCATATGAGAGAGTAGAACTGTCTCATAGGGAGTACATTACCAGGTCTTTCTCCTGCACAGCCACTGGGTGGATTCAAATTGCCAACCTTTCCATTAGTAGTCAAGCACTTAACCAGTGAGACACCAAGGCTCCTTAGCCATACTAAAGCAAGCCAAATCCACTGCCTTTGAATTAATTCCAACTCACAATGACTCTACAGGACAGTGTAGAATAACTCCACAGGATTTCCAAGGCTGTAAACCTTTACAGAAACAGACAGACTCATCTTTCTTCCACAGAGTAGCTGGTGGGTTCAAATCACTGACCTTTTGGTTAGCAGCCCAATGCTTTAACCACAGCACCACCAGAGTGCCTTTCCTTAGTTCTATCATCTTTAAATATTTCTACACCTTGACTCTCTAGGTTCATGTAAAAGCAGACTCCAGTACCTACAGCAGATAAAAGCAGCTGCACAAGTAAGGCTAGTTACTAGTGGTGCCTCATTGTATCCTCAACAGCCACTGTGCACTAGACCTTTATGCAAAAAAAAAAAAAAAATTCACTGCCATCGAGTCAATTCCAACTCATAGCAACCTCCTTTGGGTTTCCAAAGTGGTAAATCTTTACACAAGTTGATTGTCCCATCGTCCTTCCACAGAGCGGATGGTGCGTTTGAACTGCCAGCCTTCTGGTTAGCAGTCAATACCTAGACACTGTGCCCCAGAGCTCCTTGGGCTTAGGACTCCTTAGGACTCTCAGTTTTCTCTTCTCTAAGAGACCTATCATGGCAAAGGTAAAGCTCAACAGTCTCTTTAATCTTACTCTTTAGTTAAAGGATTCTAAAACCCAAAAGATAGCTCTGTTGCTTTCAGAATCTGCTCTACTCTTTCTCCCTTTTCCTTTCTCTTCTCTGATTCTGGAATTGAAGATAACTTTTTCCTACAAAGGTTATTAAAGCATCCTGGTTACTTGTGTTCCTACATTGTTCACACTCTATACACAGCTTCTGACTGCAGCTGTCTGATGTCCTGAGTACACAAATGACAATCCTCATAGCCTTCCCCTGCCTCTGATTTCCTAAGTATTTCATGGATTGTGATGACCTCCTTGGCTTCTTGTCAAACCCATATAATCACACTATCAACATCATCATTTTTCATCTTCATCATCATATTAATATGAGCTACTTACTAAACATGTATTATGTGCCAGGTCCTGTGATAAGCATTTTATATACATTATTTCATTTGATCCTCCAACAAACCTAAGGTAAATTTTATCTACAGCATAGATATGAGTAGAAGAACACTGAGGCTCAGACAGGTTAATTAACTTGCCAAGATCACACAGCTAATGCATGCCAGAGCTGGGATTCAAACTCAGCTCTTCAAAATTAGACTCAGGACTTTCTGATTCCCAAGTCTATGTCTTCTTTTTTGTTGTGAACCGCTTTATTTTATTCTTTTAGAAAATAGTCTGTTAAAAGTATATTAAGAAAAGTAATATATGCTCATTGTACAAAATTCAAACACTATTGAAGTGAGTATGAAGTATATAACAAATATAATTATTTGTTTAAATGTGTATAAGTGTCTCTAGAAGGCAAATATCAACACTGATTGCCCACAGGGAGGAGAACTGGAAAACAGGAATAGGAGCAAGATTTTTCACTATGTACTCTTCCATACTTTCAAAATTTTAAACTTCATAAATGTGTTACCTCTTCAAAAAAAATTAAAATTAAAAAGCAAGGTCTTTATATCATTTATACACACATATACACACAAGCCTTTTTAAAAATTACAATGGCACTATTCCTGCATATTATTTTTCAAGTTGATGTTTTTCACTTAAGAATATATCTTGGACCTCTTTCTTTGTCAACAGATATTAAACTATTTAATTCATTTTTTTAACAGTTACATAATATTCCATTCTATAGATGTAATTTCTTTATCTAAGCTTTACTGATAAACATTAGGATGTTTCCAATTACTTACTATTACAAATAATGATGAAATGAACACTGAACATGTCTCTTTAAACAACTGTGCAAAGATTTATGTAAAATAAATTCCTAGAAATCTAATCGTACAATCAAAGAGTATATAAAAATGTATTGCTTTTAACCAGTATGCTGAATTATGTCCTACTTCTGCCAGTGGTCCTGACTTACTGCCTTGTGGACATTTCTAAAATTTATGCAAGATCTTTCTCAGGATTATCAATTAGATTCCAGACCTGTTCCTCTACCCATCCCCAAACCCCACCATGGTTTTCTAAACTAAGCAATGATATCTGGTAATATTTGGGTACAACTAGTCCCAGGGTTACGAACAAGGTTACAAACATCATTATGAACAAGATTCTGAAAAGTGTCTTTAAGTCAAATTTGTAGGTAAGTTGGAACAAGTGCATACAGTTCTTATTTAGCCTTACTTTAGTTCAATAAAAGGCTGAAGCCTTTTCAATGATTTAAAAGCTGCATGTGCAGAAAGTAAAGGTGATTATGATGAATAATTGTTGTAACTAAAGTTTGGTTCAACCATTTCAAAGGGAAGGCAAAGTTATATAACATTAAACAGCAAATAGGAGTTGTTAGTAAGTCAGATGTTCGCAACCCAGGGACTTAACCGTATTTCCCTAAGTATAGCCTCATCCCACCCATGTCCCAGCCTGAGCCCTGATTCCATGGCTTATCTGGGTAGTACGTTGTCATTGACAGTCCCAGTATCACTATGCTCCTTCTCCCCACCTCACCTGCCATTAGACATCAATAGGGCCAGCGGGCTCTCATTCCCATCAAGGTCCAAGTCTGGCGAGTCGTTGTCTGAGTCATTCAAGCAGGTACCAGTGATGTTAAACTGCAGAAGGAGGATGCCCAGTTGTCACCTATCAGGCACTCCCACGTGAATCAGGATGGCCAGTTCCCTCCAGTTTCACTGGTTAATTCATCTGTCAAACCACCTGAACCAAGGTCTTTTGCTACCCCCCCACCCCCACAACTAAATGATCATAGGATCAGGAGGCTGAGAATGTGTGGCTGGCTCAGGGAAACCCCATTAATCTTGTCAAATATGTTCCCTAAACTGGTGTGTGGGGGGCATCTTTAGATGCCCATGAAGGGCACCACAGTTTTAAGGCCTGATGGAGCCCTGGAGAAGAGTTTTTCTCCAGGACCTATTCAAGACTCCAACCTGACACTCAGATATCATGTTCTCAATTGTCATCCCCCTCCCAACATTTCAAAATCCAACTGTCATGTTTTCTGAGAAGAACTCCTAACCATCTTAACTAAGGAGACAGTCTTAGGGTCCAACATACACCCGTGAATGTGGCATCCACAACACTTCATTGAACTCATTTGCTTTTATGCCTATCTTTTTCAATAGCCTGTAAGCCTCTTGATGTCCACAGCACCTATCACAGTGCCCAGCATAGAAAAGATCTCAATAAATGCCTGATAAATAAGTGGGACTGGCAGCCAAACACCAGGGGCCCCAAGGGAGGTAGGAACAGGACAGGATAGCCTGTCCTTTTGATACCCTGCTCTTCCAAGGGGCCCAAAAGGGTTGGGCTGAACCCATGGGCCAGCACCCACCTTTGCTTTCTGGGAAGAGCCTGTCTTCAGTGCCTGATGATTGTATGTGTCCATGAGATTATAGCTCAATTGGCCAGCAGGCCCCAAAGCTGAGCAATCCTTGCCCTTTCGCTCTGCCTTCTTGAAGAAGTCCGTGGGCTTCAGGCCTTTCTTCTTTGAACCACTTTTGGAGGGCAGTGACAGTCTGGACATGGATACTGAAGTGCAATGAGCTGGCCTGGTTAAAGGAATGGAGCCAGCTGGGAAGATCCTCTGCAGCCCAAAGATATTGCTCGTCTTCCCAACGTTCTGTTGGAAGATATCCTATAAGAGTGTTAGTACACATGGGGATTAGAGCTTACTCAAGGTTTATCTCTATGCTAAGGGCAGAGATCTGCTTGGTATTGGCAATACTGCCATGGAAGTGATTTACAGATGCTCTGCATATACACAGCTCTTGCACAATGAGTCATCAAGAATTCAATGAGGCATTTCTTTGCCTAGACATTGACAAGTAAGGAGAAGATGAGCAAAGGAAAAGCCTCACCTCTACTGTCAAAACTAGAGAAAAGATTCCAAGCATAGCTGACATGAGACAAAAACTAATTAGGTGATAACTGTATAGTTTAAACCCCAGGGACTAAAGGATTTGAGAGGAGAGAAATTCTGGTCCTAATTCTGCTATAAGCTACCTATATGACTTTGGGAAAGTCATCTGACCAATTCTGGGGCTCTGTTTGTTCAGTTGTAAAATCTAAGCATCAGGCTGGACAGGTGGTTTTCAAAGATGCTCTGTGGTTCCTCTGAGCTTCTCAGGAAAAGCCCTGGGCAAGAGAGGCAGGTAGAAGGCAGACAAAAGGAACAAGCGGAACTCCAGGCTTTCTACATTCGTCTCATTCAGAGCAGTTATGCTATGTTTGTTATATATATTGGGATTGCACGTAAGATCTCATTTGCAAAAGGGATACAACTGCTTTAAAACATTGATAGCCACTGGACCAGATATGATTTAGCTCTTTGTCCTCATTCAACCAGCCCTAAGTTTGGTGTATAGAAGATTGGTTAAAATGAGAAGATTTGAGGAAAAGGTAGGGCTTTAACCAAACTCTGAAGGATTCTGACAGATGGGAGTAGAAGAAAATGAGGAAGGAGGTGGACAATGTAAGCTATGGTATAGGCAATGAAACATGTCAAACAGTGGGAGTAGAAGCCCAATTTCCCAGTAGCTCACTCTGACCACCCTTCAGCACGGATATATATCCTGAACATTACAGATCATTAATGTACATATCAGAACATTACAGCTTCTGAGCTAAAGGAAAGTTTAAATATCCTAAAGTCCAATTCTCCTCTGGTGCCTCTGCTACTTTACCAGCCCACACTGAGTCCTCTCTTTGCTGTAAAATCTATTAATAACAATGGCTAACATTTATTGAGTACTTACTCTGCCAGGCACTGTGCGAGGGGCTCTACATATATTAGCTCTTAATTCTGAAAAACTCATAGGTTGGTATTATGCTCATTTCACATATAAGAAAATTGAAGATCTGAAAGGCTTTCAAGCGATAGAGTGGGAATCAGAACCCAGGTTTCTGAGTCTCTTACTACTACTATACCTCACTGTCTTGTGGTCTATGCCACCTGTTGAAACATGATTTTGTAATCATCTTCAACCTGAGAGAACTGTCATTTTCAAAATGAAGAGACTGAGTCAAAATATTAATAACAACAACAACTACTACTATAACTACTACCATCCACCATCACTCAACATGAGAATTTATTGAGCACCTAATACGTACTAAGCACTATACTTAGTGTTCAACCTGCATCACCTTATTTAATCCTTTTAACAACCTCTGAGTAGATATAATTATCCCCATTTTAGAGATGAGAAAACTGAGGCTCAGAAAGGTTAACTTTTCCAGGGCCTTCTACTAGGCCATAAGCTCTATGTAGGTAGGGACTGTGTCATTTATTTATACTAAGAGCCGAGCACAATGTGCAGCACATTGTAGGCCCAAAATAATTATTGAAATAAATGAACCAATGAATGAATAAGGGTCCTTAGTAAGGTTTCCCAACCCTTCCCCCAGGCTCTCATGCCAACTGCAGAGGCCTAACTTGTCACACGAGCCTCAACCCCTTCCCTCCACCCATGCCTCTTACTTCCACCAGGCGGATCTCCCTAGCCAGATCTTTAATGAGCTGTACGGTCCGCACTGTCTCTGGAATCTCATCTTCATGGTCTGGCAGAGCCTGTCAAACAAGAAGCATGAGGAATAGACCCACAAATCAATGGATAACTGATTTTCAACAAAGGTATCAAGGCAATTCAATGGCGAAAGGACAGACTTTTCAACAAATGGTACAAATTGGTTATCTACAGGGAAAAAAAAAAACCCAATCCATACCTCATGCCATATTAAAAAAAAAAACTCAATATGGATCATAGACATAAACGTAAAATATGAACTTCTGAAAGAAAACAGAGGGAAAATCTTTGTGATCTTGGGTTAGGCAAAGATTTCTTAAATAGGTCACAAAAAATATGACCCATAAAAGAAAAAACTGATAAATTGGAATTTATCGAAAATAAAAACTTCTCTCTCCAAAACATAATTAAGAAAATACAAGTTACAGACTGGGAGAAAATATTTGCAACATATCTATCTGGTAAAGAACAAGTATCAAAAGGTGTGAGGAACTCAGCTATGTGCTTGGACATCAACAGCTAATAAATGACAGAACACAAAATGGAAACAAGCTTTTCTGACTCCAAGACCTATGTTTTGTCAGTGCATTGATTCTATTGATGTATTTCCTTTGTAGAGGGGAAAAAAGCAAACAGAACTGTGTCATGAAGCTGAATTTAGTCAAAGTGCTATTCTATCTAAGGGAGAATATTTTAAAACCTGAATTCATGTTTGAGTAGAAATATCGTGAAGCTATGCTACCACAAGCAAATACATTTTTAGAAAAACATCAGTCAAAACAATAACTGATTTGGTAAATTCAACTAAATTACTAGTTAATTACATGAAAAAATGTTTTAAAATGAAAAAAAATGCAGCCACGGTATTTATGTTATGCAATCAGATAAACAATCATTACATTTATTTTTCACTTTTTAAAAAACAGTGTTGGTACATTATAAGGAAATAAAACACGAAATTCTACAATCTCAAAAATAAGTAAAACTCAAGGACCTCAAGGAGATGAATGGGGACAAACTCGCTTCTCCACTTGTGAGAACAGAACTCAGTGCTAAGCAACTACAGGATCACAGGTAGCTCAACAGCAACCCAGGGAAAGAACTGTTGGTTGTCTCTCTTCTAATTTGTTTGCAATATTTTTTGAGTACTCAAGATTTACATTTTTATGTAACTGATCTCTCAAGCTTTTCTTTTGTAATTTCTTCCACTACTGTTCATTTCAATTCTGTATCCAGAGAACTGATAAAAATTCAGCATTTCCTTCTTGTTCTCCATAATTTGATTCCTTTTTTTCCTTTAACACTATTAATCCATCTGAAATTTATTATGGTGGATGGGAGGTGGGAGAAGGATGAATCCATGTGATAACTTGATAACTGGATAACTTTAATGCTCACTTCCTCGCCACCCAGGGATTCTGAAAAAGTAAAGGACCAATGCTTCCTGTGGAAGTCAACTGCACTTCATAAAGATCCCTTCCATGAGGGTGGACTCCTCCGACATGAGTCCTACTCTTCTCCAGCTCCCGTTGGCCAAAATGTTTGGGGCCATCCCTCATTTCCTGAGTTCATCTTAGCCCAGGGCATGAGTCCTTAGGACCTACCCACCCACCTTCCCCACCCTTTTGGTGTTCCTGGGACACAGTCAATCAGAAGTTCATTTCATGGGAGGGATCAAAGATGATGTGGAAAAAGAGAGGTCACAGTCTAAGGCCCAGATGTAGGTGAGCCCAAGGAGCAAGAGAAGGCCCACAACATGAAGTCTTAAGGGTATCTAAGGAGAAGGTTGGCAACTGAAAATGGGGAGATTGTACAGGTTAAATTGCAGTGGCTGAAAGGTCCTTAGGTCACTGTATGCAAAGGAAGGAGTCTGAAAGGAATATCTGAAGCCTAGGAGTACATATATATGGGAGCTCTGGTAGTGTAGTGCCTAAGGCACTTGACTACTAAGCAGAAGGCTGGCGGTTCAAACCCACCAGCCACTACTCAGAAGGAAGGGTGGGCCATCTACTTCTGCAGTGATACTGCCTCGAAAACCCAAGGAGGGGTTGCTATGAGTCAGGTCCGACTCAACAGCAGGCACATAACAACAACAACACAGGAGTATGTATGTATGTGTATATATGTTGTTGTTTTGTGCCATCGAGTTGGCCCCGACTCATAGCGACCCCTCCTTGGTCATATACTCCTTGGATGTGTGTGTGTGTGTGTGTGCGCGCGCAATATATATATTGCATTTCTTAATTTTTTTTTTTAGTTCAACCTTTTGAGTAAGTAATCCATTCAAATGGCTGAAAATCAAATAATATAAAAAGGTATATACTGAAAATCTCCCTCCCACCTTTGCCCCTGTCATCAGCCCATCATCCTACTCCTGCTTTTTATTAGTTTCTTATGTATCCCTCCAGATTTTGTCTTTAGGCAAATATATGTACATACATACATAATTTTTTGTGTTCCTCCTTTTTACACATAAGGTAGCATACTACACACACAGTCCTGCCTGCACCTTTGCTCGAAAAATTCTATAGATCTTTCCCAATCAGTATATAAGAAAGCTTTCTCATTCTCTTTTTTATCTGTTTAGTATTCTATTGAATACAGGGATATTGGTACATTTCTAAAAAGCTATTTTGGCAGTATGTATCAAGAGCTTTTCATTTTTTATATACTTTGATCCAGTAATTGCTCTAGGAATCTATCCTGAAGAAACAATTAAGAGGTGAGGGACAAAAACTGATGCATACAGGTATTCACTGCTGGATTCTCTAGAAATTGTTGTTTGGTGCCACTGAGTCAATTTTCAACTCATAGCGACCCCATGTGACAGAGTAGAATTGCCTCATAGGGTTTTCTTGGATGTAATCTTTACAGATGCAGACTGCCAGGTCATTTTCCCATGGAGCCACTAGGTGGCTTCGAACCATCAGCCTTTCAGTTACCAGTCAAGTAGTTACCATTGTGCCAGCAGGAGTCCTTTCTCTATAACTATCCCCTCCCCAAAAAATAAATAGATAAAATGGAATGAATAATAAACAAGTAGTTAGGTAAGAATTTTACATCCCTACAAAAGAGTATCAAGTAACTACTAAACGTTTATGAAGAACTTTAGTGATACAGGAAAATGCTTAAAATAAGCCAACAGATTTCAGATACAAAATTGTAAGTACATTGAGGCAACAATTATGTTTTAAAATTGCATATAAAAAAGATCAGAAGGAAATACACCAAAATGTTAAGATTGTAGTTTTTTTCTTAATACTCTTCTGTATTTTTCTAATTCTCTATAGTAAACATGTATTATCTTCTATAATCAGAAAAATTTAAAAATGTAATCCAAGGAGTATTAGCCTGTCATCTACTCTAACCCAGTAGTCCACAAGCTTCCCTGATCTCTTCTGTTCCCTAAAACATCTACCCAAAGCTAGTCCCTGAATATGGCAAAAATCTAAAAAAGATAGAGAAATAAGTATATTACTTCTTTCTTTGTCCAGGCTCTAAAGGCCAAGTTCAGGGCTTTGCCACCATGGACCAGGTAGGAAGCAGGGTGTCTCCTGTTCTCTCGCAAACCTAAGGAAAGAGGAAGGCACAGTGAAGGACTTAGTACCTTTATCAGGAAAACAGAGAAAATATTCAGAGTTCTGAGCAAAACTCTCAATCTAGGTTCTTAAAATAGGGTTCTTCTACTGAGTGTCTACTATGTACAAGGCATTTGACATCCATTATCTCATTTAATCCTTATCCCACTCTGCCTTAGAGGTATTATTATCTTCATTTTACAGTTGAGAAAACTGAAGCTCAAAGAGGCTTAATCATGGCTTAATCAAAGAGACTTAATCATGGGCACATATCTGGATATGTGCCAGAGCCAGGATTGAAACCATGTCAATCTGAATCTGAGGTCTGTATTCCTTCTACTAAACTATCTCTTGGGTTTCAAAATAAGACCACTCAGGAGGACCAATGATTGCTACCTACACATATCTGAAAGGCCATTAACGTAGAAGGATTAGGTGTATTCTGGGTTACTACAGGGGAAATATATTACAGATAGATTTAGGCTCAATAAAGAATTTTCTAATGAACTGAGCTGTTCAGAACAAGTAATATGTACTTAATCATCTAGCTTCTGATTGAACATTTAAGTTCAATCTTCTGTTGTTGTTGTTGTTAGGTGCTGCTGAGTTGGTTCAAACTCATAGCGACCCAATGCACAACTGAACGAAACATTGCCTGGTCCTGCACCATCCTCACAATCATTGCTATGCTTGAGCCCATCATTGCAGCCACTGTATCCACCTATCTCACTGAGGGTCTTCCCATTTTTTGGTGACCGTCCACTTTACCAAGCATGATATCCTTCTCCAGGAACTGGTGCCTTCTGACAATATGACCAAAGTACTAGAGATGACATCTGGCCATTCTTGCTTCTAAGAAGCATTCCAGCTGTACTTCCTCCGAGACAGATTTGTTCATTCTTCGTGAACACCACAGTTCAAATGCATCCCTTCTTCTCTGGTCTTCCTTATACATTGTTCAGCTTTCACGTGCATATGAGGCTACTGGAAATACTATGGCTTGGGTCAGACACACCTTAGTCTTCTGACATCTTTGCTCTTTAACATTTTAAAAAGGTCTTTTGCAGCTCATTTGCCCAGTGCAACACATCATCTGATTTCTTCACTGCTGCTTCCATGAGTGTTGACTGTGAATCCAAGTAAAGTGAAATCCTTGACAACTTCAATCTTTTCTCCATTTATCATGATGTTGCTTATTGGTCCAGTTTAAGAATTGTTGTTTTCTTTATTTTGAGGTGTAATCCAGACTAAAGGATTTGATCTTCATCAGTAAGTGCTTCAAGTTTTCTTCACTTTCAGCAAGCAAAACTGTTTCATATCACAGGCTGTTAATGAGTCTTCCTAAAATCCTGATGCCACATTCTTCATAGAGTCCAGTCTCTTGGATTATTTGCTCAGCATACAGATTGAATAAATATGGTGAAAGGATACAACCCTGACACACACCTTTCCTGATTTTAAACCACACAGTATCCCCTTATATTGTTTGAGCACAGTTAAGTGTTCTGGAATTCCCATTCTTTCCAATGTTATCCATAATTTGCTATGATCCAAAGATTCAATGCTTTTGCATAGTCAATAAAACACAGGTAAACATCTTTCTGGCATTCTTTGCTTTCAGCAAAGATCCAGCTGATATTAGCAATGATATCCCTGTTCCATGCCCTCTTCGGAATCCAGCTTGAATTTCTGGCAGTTCCTAGTCTATGGACTGCTGCAACCATTTTTGAATTATCTTCAGCAATGTTTTAGTTGCATGTGGTATTAATGATATGGTTTGGTAATTTCTGCATTCTGTTGGATCTCCTTTCTTTGGAATGGCACAAATATGGATCTCTTCTAGTTGGTTGGCCAGGTACAAATTTCTTGGCGGAAATGAGTGAGTGCCTCCAGCACTGCATCCATTTGTTGAAACAAGTTGTTTTGTAACAGTACCTTCAGTGCAGCTTGGACTTCTTTCTTCAACATCACTGGTTTTTGATCATATGCTCTGTAATGAAATAGTTGAATGTCGACCAGTTCTTTACAGTACAATGACTCCGTGTATACCATCTTCTTTTCATGCTTCCTGCATTGTTCAGTATTTTGTCCAAAGAATCCTTCAATACCTTAACTTGAGGCTTGAATTTTTTTCTTCGGTTCTTTCAGTTTGCGTTCTTCTCCTTTGATTTTCCAACTCCATGTCATTGCACATTTCATTAGAATACTTTACTTTGCCCTCTTTAGCTATCCTTTGAAATCAAAGATTTTCAATCTTTCTCGGTGCTAGAATAATGGTTTGAGGCATTGGGTAGGACACCGTATTCATTGGTCTTAGGAGGCTCTTCGTAATTCTGAGGTTCTGATTCCTCCTGGCCAAGTCACATTGAGGAATCTCAGACCTGAACACTAGACACACTCTATTTCAAAGAAGACCAGGAAAGATAAAAGCTCATTTCCATCTACACTGATACTCAAAAAACAATGAGTTGAAACCAGGATGATCAGGAATGGACCTTCTCCCCATGAGAAGCACATCCAGGAAGAAATTCTGAGACTATCCATATTGACTTTCTTACCTTAACTGAAAGGAAATAGGGATAATTTCACTTACACAATTTTCTCAGCTATGCTTGCTAAATAAAAAAGTTAAAATTCACATCCTGCCCTTTTTTTTTAGTGAAAAAAAGCCAATCTCAAAAGGTCATATAGTATATGACTCCATTTATATAACATTCTTGGAGTGACAAAATTATGGGGATGGGAAATAGATTAGTGGTTTCCAAGAAGTTAGGGATGTTTCAAGGGTAGGGGATGGGTGATACTTACAAAGAGGTAGCAGCAGGGAGATGTTTGTGGTGATGGAACAGTACTATTTTGATTGCCATGATGGTTACATACACACACATACTCACACTAAGGAGCAGGACAAAAGAGACAACCTGTGCAAAGGGCTCCATACCTCGAAAGATGTCCAAGATATGCTTTCCCACATACCAACAGATGGTCTCAAAGTTGGGGAATTTGAAGAGGTCTGCTGTGCTCAGCCGCTTCTCAATCTCATAGGCTCTGGAGGAAGTAGGCATAACAACGATAACAGGGTTCCCATTAACCAAGCACCTACTACATATCAGGTATTATTCCAGCTCCTTTAAATCCATTATCTCTATTCTTCACAAACACCCTGTAAGACCCTACATTATAGACTAGGAAATTTGGGATCACAGGTTATGTTACTTCCCCCAAAGTCATAACTACTATGTAAGGAATGGGTGCTAATCTTCAGATTAAATATCAGGAAGAACCAACTTCCATCCTTTTCTGAGCATCTTGCCTCCTTCTATGCTACATTCCTCACTCTAGGGAAGAACCCAAGGACTCTAGCAGATAGTAGTGACTAACTCAGAATTACCACAGCTTTAGGACTCACTTGAGCTGCATTTCAATGTTAAGACTGTGTAAGAAGTTCCCTCCAAATGCAAGGCAGTCTACGGGAGTCAGCACAGCATGGATCCACCCTGGAGTACAACAAGGCAAAATTATTACCATCAGGAAGTAGGTGAGGAGGAAAGAAGGATGAGATCTGGCAAGCATGGGAAGTGTGGCATAGGGTCTTTCTTCCTTTTAACATTCCTTCTAACCTATTCAGTTCAACTCTAACTCCTTTGAACAGTTAGCTTGGCAGTGATTCAGAACATTCTAAGTTCTTCCACTATCCCAACATCCCTTGTCTTGTAATCCACCATTGTAACCCTGAATTACTAAACCCCCTTCATTTCCTTCCTCTCCACTTCAAAATCTCTCTGTTGCTTCTCTCTTGCATCTAAAAAGGGCATTACCTCCTTTTCATGAGTACTTCCTCCGAGACAGCCCTAGGAAAAAAAAAAAAAAAAAAAGAACTTTTGTGTTAGATAGAGCTAGATTCAAATTTATATTTAAATTAAAATCCTAGTTTAAATATCCACTACAAAGGCTGGTTGAGAAACTTGCACCTAGCCAGAACTCAAGTATTCCCCTTGCCATAGAAACCGCACCTCCTTCTACAACCTTCTGATTTTTCTTCTTAAATCTCTCTCATGATCACCTTCTCCTTTCCATCTACCCTATTACTCTTTTGGTTCAGATTCCTCATTATCTCTCAACATAGGGCTACCACAATAGCCTACAAACTGGTTCCTCTATACTAGTGGTTGTTAAGGTATGGTTCAAGAAACCCTGGGGCTCCCTAAGACTCTTTCAGAGAATATGCAAGGTCAAAACTATGTTCTTGATAATACTAAGATGTTATTTGCCTTTTTCACTCTCATTTTCTCACAGGTATACACTGTAGTTTTCCAGAGGATACATGAACCAATATTACACCAGAGCAAATGCACAAGCAGATTTGAGTATACATTTATCTTCTATTAAATCAGACATTAAAGAAATGTGCAAAAATGTAAAACAATGCCACACATCTCATTAAATTTTTGTTTGGAAAATA